GTCCTCCACCTCCTTCCCCCTCCAACTTCTGGTGGTGGTGGTGGTGGTGGAAAACAGGCCCATCATTGGGGAAGCGAGGAGGCACCGCAGCCAGATTTGGCCCAACCCCCGCGCTCCCGCCGGGAGCTCGAGCCCCGTTGGGCCGTGCTTCTGCGGGCCCCGCCGAGGGGCCCCGGGGACTTGGCCTCTTGCGGCTCGGCTCGCGTGGCGCCCCCGGTTCGCCTGGCGGTTCCTGGACTCGCACAGCCGTCGATGCGGGGAGGAGGGAGCAGGGAGGAGGGGGGAGGGAGGTGTGAGGTGTGGAGATCGGTGGCCGCGCTACAGTCGGAGCGCTGAAGAAGGAACCCTTTTTGTTGGGGAAGGGCTCCGTGCTCCTTAAGTGTTTCGCAGCTTGCCTCAGGTTCTCCTCATGTTTTCGATCGGAAATCGAAGTTTCACTTATGGAGAAAAAAAGGGGCCTCGTTCATGATTTTGGGCTCCTTGGGTCAAGGCCCCGCCTGTACGCCCCCCCCCCGCCGAAGCAGCTCCGGCGGACCGCGGTCCGTCCCGAGCACGTCCGGCGTGCGCGCCGAGGCCGTGCGGGCCTCGGGCCCGTCGCGGGGCCCGCCGCGGCCGTCTCCCTCGCCTGCCCTGGGCCTTCGGCGCCCCCATTTTTCTTGTGGTCGGCGCGGGCCTCGGCGCTCCTGGCCCCTAAGCCCCGTTTCGCGTTTTGTTTCTAGTAGCTCAAGCATACTTGTACTGCGTGTATCTGTGCACATATATATTTATATACACACATAGCATATAGAGATATATGTGTATAAGTATATATACATATATATATATACATGTATACACATTTGTATGTATAGGTTTAAACAGTTGCATTCGTACCTAATTATACAAGCACAGATCGAGGTATCCATACCTTCTGTTCTTGTTCCAGGAGGTCGAGGGCCGCGAGGCCCGCAGCAGGGCCCCTGGAGGCCCGAACGAGGCAGTGGCGCGCTTTGGGAGGAGCGCCCCTGTCCCCTTCGTGCCTGGACTTTCCCACGTCCGCGTGTGCTTCGTTGTGGGCATCTCCATGCTGCCTCGGGCCTTCCGCGAAGGGCGCCTCTGGGCTCTTGACCGGCGTCCTTCTGGCCAGATCTCTCGGGGGCCCCCAATGGGGTGGTGACCACACCATGCCACAACATGTGCGGAGTCGGTGGGGATTCGGGGTCGCCGCACGGTTTTGGGACTCGTGTCGTTCTCAGAGGCCGTCTCGGACGACTGGGGCATCCGAGGTCCCAAAACCGTGCGTTGACGGACCGTGCGGTGAGGTCTCGGGGTATTTCGAGGTCACTGCACGGTCTGGCACCGCACCGTTTCGGGACTCCAGAATCTCGCCTGTGCCGACCCTCCTGGCCCTGCCAGGATGGCGCACGCACCATGGCGGGAGCCAGGCTGCCCCTGGCAAGGCACGGTGGTGGTGCACAAGTCAGCCCGCGCAGGAAGGATGAGCGACTCTCCAAGGCTACTCTTCAGTCGGGCCTGTCCCTCTACAGGGGGAGTGTTCAAAAATTGTCTAACATGCTCTGGGGACAATTGTGTGTGTGTGTTTGTGTGTTTTTGTTGCATCTTTGGAGTATTGCCTGACTGTCTTTTCCTTTTCGTCCAAGCTCCGCCTGTAGGGAGGACACGCCCGACCTCAGGCTTCCCCTTTGCATCCTTGCCCCTCGGGCCCACCCCTGGCAGCTCTCGCACTCGAGGAGCGTCAACATGGCTTTCCGAGGCCCTCGCCTCCTTTGCCTGGCATCCTCGCTGTGTGGGTGGACGGCGTATACGCAGACGTCCGGCCGGCGATGCGAGCGCCTCGGGCCTCGGAGGCCTCGACCTCTCCCCCCGGGGGGTGCAGGTCTCCACCTCGGACCCGCTCTCCGAGTAGGGGATCGACTACAGAACTGATGCACCCCAGAATTGATTTCCCTTGTCGAATGCACGGGACATTTGTGGAGCTTTCGCAAATCTACGTGCATTCTACGTAAGTTTGTTTGGGATTCGACGTGGAAGTCAATTTTGGGGTAAATCCATTCTGTAGTCGATCTCCTACTCAAACTCTGGATGGCCCCAGTCGGGAGCCTTGAGACGGGGGTCAACGCAAACGGGGGTCAGCCAGAGCGCCCGATCTTGCAGGATCCTGCGGGGCCAGGGGCGCACTAACCTTGGGTTTGGGTGCAGGATCCTTCAGGATCTTTTGCAGGATGCTTCGCACATTGGCCCAGGTTCGGGTGCAGGATCTTGCAGGATTCTCCAAGGCCTGATTGACCCGGGTCTGGATTGACCCGGGTCAGAAGATCCCCAGCCCGGGGCCCGAGAGTGGTCCCCAGATTGACAAACATCAGCCCGCCGGATATTTGGGCAGGTGCCCAGAGATCCGACGTTGAGGGGCAACGATCGGGGGGGATAGGAGTAGGGGGCAACATCGACCTGGAATCGGCGATGCATCGTCGACAGATCGGCGATAGGACCCCGATAATGAATCCGCACGTTCCTGGGCAGGTTGGAGCGATCGTGCCCCTATCGGCGATCAATGGGCGATTGGGGGTCGATGCATTTCCCTCTATGTCTATCCCCCCTTAGCCTTGCCCCTTCAGACGTAATCTTTTGGTATCTTGAGCGGCACAGGAACAAACGGGGCCGTCTGCGACGACATTCTCGCGTAAGCTGCTCGCGTGAGAAGGTGTCGCGTAAGCGCCCTCGCTTTCGATGTGGCTTGCAGCGCTGGCGGCCCGCGCAAGCCACCGCGCAAGGCCGCTGCGTCATCTACCGTAAGCCCCGTTTTGATCGCCGCTCACATGGAGCCCCCGTAAGTCCCGACCCTCTCCTCATGTTCAGGGCTGAAGAGACGGGGGTCAGTGCAAACGGGGCTCAGTTAGAGCGCCGGATCTTTCAGGATCCTGTAGGGACAGGGTCGCATTGACCCGGGTTTGGGTGCAGGATCCTGCAGGATACTGCAGGATCCTTCGCATTGACCCGGGTTTGAGCGCAGGATTCTGCAGGATTTTGCAAGGCTTGAATGACCCGGGTCTGGATAGACCCGGGTCAGAAGATCCCCGACATGTCCAGCATGTCATTTTGAGCCGTTTCTTTACGGCTCCAGGGCTGGCGACGGCTCCCCCGGGGGTCAGAGGCGGCGAGAACAAAAACGTTTGTCATGATTTTCCAGTGCGTTGGGGGTCTGGGTGCCTTCAGGGTACCTGCCGGCCCTCCTTGGATGAGTGCGGGGGCTGCTAGGGGGATAGGGGGTCATCAGTGGGTGCCAGGGCGGATTATATTTGGCCTACCCGAACTTACCAGCGGATTGCGAATGCGCCAAACGACTTAGGGGAGGCAAAGATCAGGGCCAAGTGGGCTCCGCACATTTAGCGGAGTAATTCCCCCCCGAAGCCATTAGGGCATCAGCAGCCCACTATTAAGCTAGGTTTGACCAGATATATCCACCCTGGTTTCCACTCGCAGCCCCCCTTTTCCCGGCCCGCTCCCGTGCTGATTCAAGCAGGGGCCGAAAACAGCAGAAATCCAGATTTTTCACTGCGTCGGAGATGTGGGCGCCTGCAGCCGCAAATTTCGATTCGATCGATTCGATTCGATGCCCACTCCGCCTGGCTCGATCCAATCCGATTTCGATGTGCGGGTGATCCGATGCAGCCCGATGCTTGCACGGCTCTGCCGTGCATCCTGGCGCAGCCGATCCGGTCTGACTCCGACCCCGCGGCGATACGGCCAGATCCGACGCGCGTTTCGATTCGAGCAGATTTTCCGATTCGATGCTGACTCATCTTGCCTTGTATATGGGCTAGGCTAGGGGTTGGGGCAGACATATATCCCACACTGGCATCCACTTACAACCCCTCTATTCCCTTGGCAGCCCCCGCGCTGATTCAAGTGGCTGCCTGCAACGCATCCCCCTCACGTCCGCCGACCTCGTCTTGTCCATCCGCTGTCCCAGAGGTCCTGACCGATTCTCCAGGGATAATCTTTTTCGGCCAGGGTCCATTTTTGATGGTCCTGGGGCCCGAGAACAGGTCCTGGAGGCCGAAGCCGAGGAAACACGCTTGGAGGGACACACATCTGATTGTCTAAGGTCTGGGTATGAGAGAGGTCTGGGTGCGCTGGAACTCCGACGTTACGAAAATTGTGCGACGTCACGCAGAATCATAACCAGAACCCTAGATCCGATCTTTCTGCGCCATGTTTCGAGCCAGATCGACCTGCGATGCTCCCAGGGCCCGAAATCTGGCAAAGTTGCAGCGCCCAGATCTCAGGGACCTTCAGCGCACCCACTGGAGGCAGTTTCTATTAATGCTCTGGTAAGTGTGCTTACATGGGGGGGGGGCGCTGCTAGGCCTGCAACGAACTGTTGACTTCACAGTAGGCGGGACTCCCTTGCACGCCTTTGGAAAGGCGGCGGAAAGGGGGGGCGGGGAAACGCCGTGCAGGTAAACCTGTTCGATGTCCATTCCTGGCAGCCCTGAGCGGTGACGTTGGAACCAGCTTCTGCTTGCACTTGGACACCATTCGGCCCTGCCTCCTGCTCCTCTTTACCCTTCCCGTTCCCCCTCCTCTCCTCGCTCCTCTCGTCCACCTTTTTGTGAAAGGGCGAATTTGGTCCAAACCCAGTCCAACTCGGGTCCCACACGTGCTCCAAACCCAGTCCAGACCAGGCCCAAATCGGACAGCGCCAGGGGCCAGGTGGGCCCCCGTGGAATGGACACCTAAGACCTGCCAGGTACTGGGGGGCCCTCGGGGTCATTGGGGGTACTGGGGGGTACTCGGGGGCCCTCAGGGGTACTGGGGGGTACTGGGGGTTACTGGGGGGTCCTGACGGGCCCTGGTGGCCCTGGGGGGTACTGGGGGGTACTGGAGGGAATACTGGGGGCTACTGATCCACGCCAAAACGCGCTCTCGGCCCTCGGCGGGGCCCGATCGGCCCGGCCGCCCGCGCGGGGCACCGCCGCCGGCGCCGCCTCGCTGCGAGCAGCGTCGCCGCGGGGCGGCTGGCCAGAAGGGCCGCCCGCCGGCCCGTCGTCGGGCCGGAGATGGCCGCCCCACCGCCGATGGACCCGGCCGCCCGGGCTCGGGAGAATCCAGCGGCGCGCGCGCTCCCGGAGCCTCGCTGCCCTGCCAGCTTCACCGAGCGCGTTGTTCCACGACTCGCAAGTTGCCCACTCGCAAACGTCTGAAAAAACCCGAGCGTGCCTCGATGCCATGGATCGTAAATCCCCCGCGGCGGATCCGGGCCATTTGCGAGTAGGATCTTCGCGAGTAGTGGGGCACGCTTGTCTCGTGGAGGACGATCAATGGAGAGGAAGCGTGCTGCCAAATTATTTCCAGATGTCTAAAACATGTCACACGTGTGTCTACATGTAAAACCAGACTTGAAACATGTGTCTTCCGACATTTTAAACACATGCTTAAATTCGATGATAGGACTGTTAGCGTGTCCATCGTCGTGGCATTCACAAGCCTATACGTACGCCCGTGTTGAAGCGCAGCACGTGCTGTGCTCAAAACGTCCGTTTGACCACGCTGTGTGGTGGCGGGGCACGTGCTGGCCCGCGCTTTGGCGAGCCTATGTGCCGCCGGGCCTGCGTTCTCGGTCTGCGCGTGGAGCTCCGTGTCGACACGCCGCGGGTCGTGGGCTGCGCATCGGTGCGGGTATGTTCCAGGGCTGTTTGCTTCTTCACCCTCCTCCCTCCCTCCTCCTCCTCGTCCTCCTCCTCGTTCTCCTCCTCCTCCTCCTCCTCCTCTTCCTCCTCCTCGTCGTGCTGTACATGATCATGCTGAAGGCCATGAAGTTGATCCTGTTCCTGGTGTGGTTCGGACGACGATGACACACGCCGTTGCATTGACCTCCGACCTGCCGAACAATGAAGCTGTCCTGGTGGCGGACCAGATGGAGGCCGACAACGTCTCCGCGCTGACCCATCGACGCGGTCCCGTTCAGCCCGCAGCGCTCGAGCGTCCCCGTCGCCGAGTCCCACGACATGACGTGCGAGCCCATCTAGGGTGCCTCGCCGCGGCTTGCGGCCGTGTGGCGCGCCCCGGATGTACTCGTCCCCTCAGTCCACTGCTGCTCCTCCTCCTCCTCTTCCTTCTCCTCATTCTCTTATCCCCCTCCTCACGCATCCCTCCTCCCTCCGCCGCCCCTCTACAAACACCACCCCCTCACTGCCTCTGACCAGCCGTACAATGACGATGATTGGTATCATGATTACTATTATCCCCGCCCCGCTGTTTTACTCGGCCCCCGTCCATCATATGGGCCGGAGACAAAACCGACCCTCGAGGGAGCGGCCCGGGCCCCATATGTGTTTTGTTGTATGTAGTTTGTTGTTGCCCTAGACGCTGGCGGTCGGACGATCTATTTTTCGGACGTGATCGTAGTTGCCAGCAGGTTATGTTTACACGTGGTTCATTCCTAATTCTTCGAGTTCTTGGATTTTTTTGGGAGCCAATATCCTTTCGTTTCCAATGGTTCTATCCTGGGCCTCTTCCTGGCCACCAGGGGGCCAGGAAGCGACAGAAACGAGCAGAAGTAGAAACGAGAACGATTCGAGATGAACGACGTGTTTGTGTAGTTCGTTGTTGCCCTCTAGGCTGGTGCGGCCATCTATGCGTCTGACGTTTCCGCAGCCCGCCCTCGGCGGGGCTTCCCAGCCTCGGGGATGTGCCCTCCACGTGGCTGCTGCGCCTCGCCGAGGGGCCCCAAGCTGGCGAGGCGACCTATCTTTCGGACGTTTTCTCGTTCGGGAGGGAGCAAAAACACGCAGACACGAGGAATCGTCGGTGCCCCAGAACATCTGGGAATCTATATGGGAAGTGGGGGGGAAGACCAAAAAACCCAGAACCTGTGGGGACATATAGGGGGGGGGATCCTGCTACCTGTGTGCATCTGTTCGTATGTCCCAGGGCCCCTTCCTTGGTGGCCTGCGGCGGCTTTTCTTTCCCCCGCCTCGGGGCGCCGTCGGGCGGCGGCGCCTCGCCGAGGCGTCCAAGGATGGTGCCCCCTATCGGCCCGAGCGGCGGCCCGAGGCCCGAGCCCTGGCACGGGTATTCCAGACTTCGTCATAAAAGGGAGGGGGTCTGGACCCTCCAAGACAAGCCATTTCAGACCCCCCCCCCCCGTGGGAGAACCCCCCAAAACATTGTCCCCAGACCCCCCCCAGACCCCCCTCCCTTTATTACGAGATCTGGAGTGCCCGGAGCTCCGACCCTTTTTTGCTTCCGCCGGTATTCCTCCTCTCGGGGCTGGGCGGGCCCCCTACCCCGACGCGTCGGTTCGCGAGGTGGCCGTGTTCGGTTCGCGAGAGGGCGTCGCGGCCGTCCATGTTCTGCGGGTCCAGGTCCGTCGGTTTCGGTCCCAGGCCGTTTTCACTCGAGGGAGGCTCACGAAAGGGAGGTTTGTCCACCGCCGACTCTTCGATTTCGGCCCTCGGGACCCTTTTTCGGGCCCCAAGGGCTGTCAAAAGGGGGCCCGCGTTACACAACGATCCATGGGAAGCGGTGGGGACTTGTGGGGCAGCGGAGTGAGCAAATCAGATCGGCGGGTGTCGTTTGAGCAGCTGTGGCCCCTGACACCGGGGCGTTGCAAACCAGGTCTCTGGGAGGTCCAGCTGGGGGAGACGAGGAACGGAGAAGGTGACCAATGGCTGCAGGTTTTCTCTGGTTTACCAGAGTCCTCGTCCAGGGGGCCCTGATGGGCAGCATGGCCTCCCCCGCCCCACATCCCCAGCCCGCCCTTACGACACGATCTTGTTCAGCCCCGGCGTTTCTCATAGACTTCGGCTTCCGGGGCTCGCTCTCGGGCGGACCATCAAAAGTAGACCCGGGACGGAAGAACCTACCTTTGGAGAAGGGGTCGGGGCCCCCTGAGTCCCTCTCTCCCCAATGCATCCCCGCATCGTGAAACAATCACTGTGGGCGGCGTTCAACGGGCCCCGAGGCCGTCACAAAACGACGACTCGGACGGCGATGAACGACGACGACGACGCAGCCGTCGACGCTGCCTCCGCATCCAGATTACAGCGTTCACTGCTGCAAGAAGGTATTTCTCAATTTCCCGAACGCGTTGATGGCCGCCACCTACCACTCGAAGTGTATGTCTGATGGCGCCTTTGCTTGCCCAAACCTTGGGGGTGGTGGGGGCATCGAGCTGCGCGTCCGCCGTGACCTCCCACCGACGCCTCGCAAACTTTCCCATTATCTCGGGAACGCGCGGCAGGTCGCGGCGCGGATCTTCGGCTGGGAGCTGGCGGGATCCACGGGGCTGGGGGGGGGTCATTTACGTGACCAGAGGTGCCATCCCAGTTCCGGTGGCGAAGATCTCTGTCCCCGCACCTGGTGGTGGACGCTGTAAGCTCGGCCGAGGTGGAGGGAGAAGCACGTGCGCCCTGCCTGCAGGTCCGTTTCTCGGAGGTTCGCCCTTCGAGGCGAGTGCGACAGCAGCTGCCGCGGTGGGATGGGGGCTCGACGGGTGGCTCGGCATCTGGTGGCTCGGCGGGGCCCCCGTCTGCGGAGAGCGGCTGTGCTGTAATGCAGTGGACGCATCGGCGCAGTTTCCTCCTCCTCTATTTTGGGTTGCTGGTGGAGTCTGCCGTCCGCCCACTCCGCTTACGCTCTGTACCCGGCACGCTCGTGCTCTTCATGCCTATTTCCCAGTCCCGTCTCTCGGAGCATGTTCACGGCTTCAGGAGGCCAAGAAATTGTTTGGACGGTTGTAGATTGCATTAGTCCAGCTAGCTCACGGTTCCAGGGCCGACGTGGCCTTGTTCGCTGACGTGATCGCACAGGTAGGTGGTATGGCAGTTCTCTGGATGATAGGGCAGCTCGTGGGGTTGTCACGTCTGACTTGATGCTCCAGTCGCTGTGTTCTCGCATATCGATCCTGTCGAGGTGTTGCAAGGGGGGTTATCTCATGGCGATGTTTGGAACTTGATGGGGGCCTCGCGATCGTGAACGTTCATGTGCCCAACGCACGTGGCCACATCAGCGTGTCTGAACAATACAGATTCTTGATGAGTCACCCCCTGCGGCCCACAGTATGGTGCTCGTTGTTGGTGGTTCGAATTTCGCCCACATGGAGGATGGGAGGTTTACGGCAGGTGGTGAGTTCGATCCAGCGGACTGGGTACAGCGTGACGCTTTCCATGACTGATGCAGTTCATTGTGTAAAATATACCAGCCTGACCCCGCTTGCAGGGGCACTGTCGGTGGCGAGCTTCGGGGGTTTCTCCCGGCCAGGTCGGGTCCACGCCGCCCTCCCTGCTGGGATCGTCAATGAGTTGGTTGTCACTGCGTGCGCTGCAGGGGCTTCGGCCCGCAAGGGGGCCTCGTCGGACCACGTCCCTGTCGCCGTCGCGATTTCCTGTCCTGCGCCGGTTGGCCCCCCCTCAGTCCCGAAGTGACTTAGCCAGCATGCAGCGTATGGACGGATGGTCTCTCAGCAGTTGACAGAGCCCGGACTTCGTGTTGATCTTAGTGAGCAGGTTCGGAGGGTGAAAGCTCCTGTCGGCGCTGTGGCGGCTGAGTTTCGACAGTCTCCCAAGGATCTACAGGCGTCGATTGACGCGGAGCAGCTACACTTTGTATTCATGGCAGACCGAGGGTGGAGGGGGCAGCAATGGTATCTTGTCATCCGCGCCTTGAGCTGCGATGATGCTCTTTTCTCTTTCTGTGATGTTGACCGCTGTATTTTTTCTCATCCTGACGGGCTTCACTTTTTGATTGTGTCGTTGAAGAACCGTTGGCTTGAGGAGGGGTTGGAGCAGGTGGGTCATGGCGGGGAGCCTGAGGAGGTTATGAGCAAGCACAAGAAACGCATTGTGGTTTTGAAGAGAGTCCTGGCCCTGATGAGACGGCGGATTGGTCTGTGGGGGGTACTGGATGAGAATGGCTGCCCCTCCCGAGCCCCAGCGACGCGGCCCGAGTGCTGCCCGCGCATTGGGAACAAATGTTTTCATGCGCTCTCCTCGTGACGAAAGGCGCTGGCCTGCGATCCCGTTCCATGTTCAATCGGTTGGCCAGCTCCCCTTGGAGCCTGCTTGGCGCCTCGACCAGGATGAGCTTGGAAAGCGGGTATGTTTCAAGCGTTTCTCTGCCCCTGGACCCGATGGTAAACCACCCGAAAATCCACACATAAAACAAGCGCGGTATCACAGCCCCACGTGTGCTGCAACGGCCCAGTATTATTCCACTGCAACCACGGAATCCAAGATGCCACTGCACTTCGCACCCCCTGCGCTGCTGCTCCATAGCCGTCAGAGGGGGCTACCTCAATCAAACTACTGCAAACCACGTCCGAGGGAGTATTTGCATATGTGTAGGAGGCGAGCGGGGTCGGGTAGACGCAGGCGCCCTCAAGACGAACGTCCCGTGATCGGCGAGATCTTCGCCCTTCGGCAAGACCATCACTCTACAGACACGACAACCCACGGCACGAGCAACACCTGCAGTATTGCACACAGCTTCATACACCTCACACAATATGTCAGCAGCTTCTTGGACCGCCTTCCTTTCGGCTCTCTCTGCGTGGATCTTCCAGGTTCTCAGGGCCATGGGCATTCCCGTGGCTGTTCTTGGCTTCTATGAGTAGTGTGGCTGTGGCCAACTTTGCGGGGGCGGGGGGCGGCCGCTCACCAATTGTGTTGGCGTGCCCGCGCGCGGGCGGCACGCCATCGTGGACGGATACCCCTTCCTCCTCGCATCACGTTTCCCATCCTTCCTCCCCGTGCTCTTCCCCCTTCCTCGCCCGTCTCTGCTTCTGCTCTGCTGTCGTCGTGCTTGTCGTCATGATCGCAGTCGCGATCGCGGTCGCAGGTGTCGCTGTGACCACGGCACTACTTGCCGTGGTAGTGGTTGTGGTCATTGTCGTCGTTGGCCAGTGTGGCTCAGGGCAGCGGCGTCGAGTGTTGATTGGTTTGCGTCTCTCGCTCTCGACCTTGTGTGCTTGGCCTATGGCTGCATTCGCCCCTGCGGCAGTTGCGCTGGTGCAGACGTTCTCGTCCTCGTCATTGTCCTCGCCCTCATCGCCGTTTTTTGAACCCTCTCCTCATCCCCCGTGGATGTGTTTTCTGCCGCCGCTGCGCTTTCCAACACCAGCGAGCCCCTAGTCATGCATACGGGGAGGTTGCAACATGCAGGGCTCGTGTGCGGCCACGAAACGATTCGTTCGGAACCCCAGATTCGGTGAAAGACGAGCGTCTGGGCGGTCCGATAGATATACGGGCTTGTATGCACTTGACATGTGATGCACGCGCCAGGTATCTTAGTCAGATCCCGAACTGGCTCAATGGCTGGAGCGTTGCCACACGTCGCAAGATATCTGCGCGCGTCTTTACTTCGTGGGGCTGGCTACTCACGCAAACTGTGGAAACTGTGCTTCGAGTTTGCCCGTTTGTGTGTGTTGCAGGCTGCGCGTGGGGCCACCATTGGTTTCGTGGGCGAGTGGTTTGCGAAGCCTGTCCCTTGGATTGTGCCAGTCTTCGGGCACGGAGTCTGAAACGAATCTCCCGACAAACAATCTGACGCTTCGTCGATGTGTGCATCGTTTCTGGGCCGGTTTTCCCAGCAACGCGCTTGCGGCCAAGTGCCGCGTCGACTGTCCACTGGGGACCGTCGTGAGTAAATGCGGCCGTCATGCGGTATCGGTCGGGCTCACGCGCCAGGATGCCGCCTCGTGGTTTTGGGGCCCGCAGATGACGGGCATACGCTATATGCCAAATGGTGCTGATGGGCTACGCTGTTCTGAAGGCGCAGCGAATGTGGTGAATCAGGATGGGCGTGATGCGGCGCGATGTCTTTGGAGTTCACGTGGGGCCTTCCATGTTTCTGATTGCTTTTTTTATACGGTGCCCGTTTGTTGTGGTTGTTTGGAAGAAGCTCTACTTACAGACAGGCTTCGATGTCATGCTTGGATTGGACCATCGTCATGCTTTTACCAACTGGAACGTATGGATGGCATGTTGCGTTTGAGTCAATTGCGTGATGGCGGAGCAAGGGGCGTCCAGCTTTGGTGGATAGGGGTCCATGCCACAGTTGCCTACGTGTCATTCATGTTTCTCTGGTGCATGGTTGCATTTGTGTGGGCATTTCGGTGACCCTCGGGTGTCTTTTTTCCACAGCCTGCGCATGTCACGTTACCCTGCCCAATTCGTGTGGACGGGAGTCCGCCCCGACCAATCTGGCGGAGTCTCTCGGGTTTCGAGTCTGCGATGTAGCGAGACTGGCGGTGAGGTCGGTGTTCTGGGGATCCATCTCTCTGGGGGTGACCCTTCCTGACCGGCCCTTTTTGGACCTGGCTTCAGCTTCAGGTGCCGTGTGGCGGGCGTCTTCAAAGCTGAAGCGGCGTTGGTCGCGCGCCATGCCACGCTACGAGCTCCCGCCTTCGTCGTCTCCGCCCCCTCCTTGTCCTCGTCCCCTTCCAGGCCTCCTGTCGGCGGCAAGCCCAGGGGGGGAGTGAGAGGGGGCATGCCTTCTCAGAAGGCGGCGGGGCTTTTCAGAAACGTTTGGGCCCGCCGAGAAGCCTTTCAGCCTTCACCGAGGTCCCAGGCGTCAATGTGCGAGGGCTTCTGAAAAACTTCGCCGATTTCTGAGAAGGTCTGCCATTTGGGCTGGCCGCCGATCTTCGGGACTGGCGGAGGAAGGCCAGGGGAGGGACCGTGCCGTGTCGTTGGCGCCGCCCAAGCCCCAGGCCTCCCCGGAGTGCGTGCGGATGATTGCTCTGGAGCGGGAGAACCAGGCCAGGCCAATCGCTGGCACCGGCCGGGTGGACGAGGGGAGAGGAAGCACGCGCTCGACTCGCAGTGCGAGCGCGCACGCGCAGAAGCCATGTGATGCATTGCATTCGAGGATCGAAGGAGTGGACGGCAGAAGGCGGCGGAAGTGAAGCGAGGGCTCCTCCGCCGGCGGAAGCCAGCGGACGGCTGGCAGAACCCAGTGGAAGTAAGGATCGCCCCCAAAGATTTGGCAACATGGCAAGGTTTTTGGGGTCGGGGTTTCGGGAACCCGCCATGTGTATCGCGACCAGAATCCCAACTTGTTCTGGGCGCGCGTGGGTCTGCAACGGGGGAGCCCCAGGGGCTCCGGGTGACTCTGGTTCCCTTGAGGTTCGACGTCGCGGAAAAATGGAAATTTCTCAGACAGCACGACCGGCGGAACCCTGGACAATTTTTTCCTACGCCGTTTGTCGGGCCAGATCGATTTGAAAGGGGCCCGGGGCCCGAAACCCGGCGAACACGCCCAGTGTGACAAACATTGCAGCGCCCAGATTCGCAGGGCCCGTTGGGCCCGTTCGTCGCGGAGGTGAGCGCATGGAGAGGGCGTTTGGCCCTTCGGAAAGGCTGTGGCCTCTCCCCGGGACGTGGTCGGCGGCTGCCGTTTCAGGGTGTCGGGAGGCCTTTCGGGCTTGGCTTGTGGAGGACGATCAATGGAGAGGAAGCGTGCAGCCAAATGATTTCAAGATGTTTAACGGTAGAACATGTGAAACACATGCTTGAAACATGCAAAACACATGTTTGACACATGTTTAGAACACCTTCCGACATTTGAAACACACTTTAAATTCAATGATAGGACTGTCAGGGTGTCCATTGTCGTGGCATCCACAAGGCTTGGCTGTTTGAGTGCTCAGGCAGTTAGCTATCAGACCGTGCAGAAGGAGGCCGATTGCTCCCGCTCGCTCAGTCCCATTCAGACCGAATGCATCCTGCGTCAAAGCAGCAAGTTCGGCTCTGGGTTGCCACATTTCTGTGCCGACTTCTTCCGCTCTTCGGTGAACACGTACGCCTCTACATAAGCGATAGTCGTGTGCCAAGGCGCATGTGTCGGAGGAGGAGGAGCAGCAGGAGGAGGAGGAGGAGGGGGAGGAGAGAGAGGAGGAGGAGGAGGAGGAGGAGGAGGAGGAGGAGGAGGAAGAGGAGGACGAAAGGGAGGAGGAGGAGGAGCAGAGACAAAAACAAATGATAATGAAGTCCATAGGGGAGTCCATCGGCGTGCCTCGCCTCTCGCCGCGGGCGTGTGCACAGGCTGTCCGAAATGGCCAACGCGGGAATAGGCAGGCACCTCGTCGCCCTCGGACTCGAGGAGGAGGAGGAGGAGGAGGAGGATGAGGAGGAGGAGGAGGAGGGGGAGGAGGAGGAGGAGGGGGAGGAGGAGGAGGAGGAGGAGAAGTTGGCAGGATAGGGGGATGGGGGAGGGGCCGGAATGTGAGGGAGAGAGAGGGGTGCCGGACGGAGGTTAGAGAGAGAGGGGAGGGAGGATGGAGGGAGGCGGGGGAGGAGGGGGAGGAGGCGGGGCGGGATACTGAACAGGAGGATGAGTAGAACGAGAAGGATAAGGATCAGGATGAGGTTGAGGATAAGGATAAGGACAAGGATAGGGATAATGATCGGGATGCGGATAAGACTGATTACGATGGTGATGATGATGCTGATGCTGACGATGATGATGCTGATGCTGCTGCTGATGATGACGACGATGATGATGATGCTGATGATGCCTGTGATGCTGATGCTGATGATTATGCTGATGATGATAGTGGTGATGATGGTGATGGTGGTGATGATCATTCTGATGTGGTGCTGCTGCTGCTGATGATGATGCCGCTGATGATGATGATGCTGATGATGCTGATGCTGATGATGATGATGATGATGATGATGATCAATCTGATGATGATGAGGATGATGATGCTGTTGATGATGATGGTGATTCTGATGAGGGTGATGATGATGATGATGGTAGTGCTGGTGGTGGTGAGCCGGACAGGCGTTGCGGGACCAGGTCCGCGACCTCCAGCACCTGCTGCAGGTGAAGGACAGGTATCGGCTGGCAGGTGAGCAAGCCTGGGGCCTTGACAGCGTATCGGCAGCAAGCCTGTTATTTTCTCCTACAGCTCCCACCTCTACCAGGGCAGAGATGCATACATGCCGGGTGCGTGCTGCTATTTAGCTCCCTTCCCCCCTCCCACACTCCCACGACACCAGAGATGAGGGGGGGGGGGGCCTCTTCACGGCATTCGCAGAGATGTGGGGGACCTCTTACAATTTGTTGTTGTTGAACTTTCGTTTCTGAAGATTAATTATTGTTGATCCCACCCCTCTGGTAACATCTGTGTTTTTTAATTGAAGTGCCCCTCCTGGGGCTCGTACTTTGTTTTTTATTAGGGAGAGTCTTCCTCCTCAAACTGCTTTGTTGATCCCCGGACGATAACAACAACGGCTCCCAATGGATAGTTCCCCGCAATTTATTCAAGAATCGCGCTCTCGCGGAGGAGTTCCACACAATTTATGTGCGAATCGCGCTCTCGCATGGAACCTCCGCGCAATTTATTCAGACGATGCGCCCTCGGCGCTCAGGAATCACACTGTCGCTTTGAGCGTTCTCACGGTTACGTGGGAATCGCGCTATCGCTCGAGACTTTCTCGCAATTCATGCAGGACCCATGCTTCAGCAACCTGGCTGCTCGACCTGGTCGCCTGGGCCCGCTTTCCCGTCCTGCCCGCTATTGGTCTGCACACCCGATCTGCCCGTCTGGTTCTACCACTTGTTTTCTGCTCCTTGCCCCTCTATTGCTAATTTCCTTCATGCGCCATTCTTCTCCCTCCCCCTTCACCCGTCCTCTCTTCCCTTGTTTTAGGGGCAGCACTACATGCATGTTGCAGGTAAGGTAGATATACCCCCAAGGCACTACGATCGAAGACGACGTTGGCGGGTACACAGGGTTTAGGATATACGTATTGATTGGCACGTGGGCAGATAGGAGCGAACAGTCTTAAACTGATTGTTGTTGTTGTTGCTGTTGTTGTTGTTGTGGTTGTTGTTGTTCTTGTTGTTGTTGAACATTATTAATTCTAAAGAATAATTATTGTTGGGACCCCTGGTGCACGGCCCCCCTGCGCCGCCTAGGCCGCAGCTACATTTTCATCATTTTCGTGAGGAAGCCTCAGGTAATTCGATGTGATCAAGATCCGGTTGTTTTGTTCCCCCCCGCTTTCCCTTGCAAAAAACACTATAAAATGACATTTCTTGTTCTAATATAATCAAATTTCAAGAATCCCTTGCAAAAAATAAGGTAAAGTGGACATTCGCGCGCGCAAGACGAAATCCTTCCAAAAGCTTAGTGTTCGCAGCGATTTTAACATAAAAACATCAAAAAACCAATGGTTTTTCAACAAAAAAATTGTCAAAATCTCATCCCGCGCGCTCTTGCGGATTCGTAGGAAACCCAACACTTTTTAAACATTTCTGTCAAACGGGCTTTTGCGAGCAACTTTTTCGAACTTCTGCGACAACGGTTGCGCACCTGCCAGGGCCATCATCCCTGTCAAATAATACCATGCGGGACACATTCGTTTTTTCTTCGCGCGCGCACGCCGAAATCTCCAAAAACCATTGGGCTTCTTAAGAATTTTAGCACCGCGCATCATAAAATCACACGAATCGCACCGTAGGTCCTCGAAAAACACCTGCACGACTTTTCAAAATTTCTACCCGCGCGCGCTGTCCTAACAACTTCTGTGGGTGTGTACTCCACGCCAGTGTAGTAGCCACGGTCGTCCGCAGGCCACGAAGTGAAGTGTCCGAACGTCATAGGGCGGGAAGCTGGGTGTGGGTGGTGGCGAAGAGTCGTGTGGATATTTGGTAGAGCTTGCACTGCCCCCCCACAAAGTGGGGGTATTGGCTGGCGTCGCATGAAAACCCTGGCACTGGTGAGAACACTGAGCGTTCGGGTAAAGTGATTGTTGTTGTTGTTGTTGTTGTTGTTGTTGTTGTTTGTGGTTGTTGTGATTCGTGTTGGTGTTGCTGTTTTTTGCTGCTGTTATTGCTGTTGGTGTTGTTGTTTTTGTTGTTGGTGTTGCTGCTGCTCTTGTTGCTGTCGATGTTGTGGTTGTTGTTGTTGTTGTTGTTGCTGTTGTGGTTGTTGCTGTTGCGGCTATTGTTGTTGGTGTTGTGGTTGTTGTTGTTGTGCTGGTTGTTCTTTCTGTTATTATGCTTGTTGCCGCTGTTGTTGTTGTTGTTGATACTGTTCTTATTATTGTTGACCCCCCCACCGGTGCATACGTTTTCTGAATCAAAGTATGCCCTCGATGCTCGCACTCTGTTTTTTTTTATCAGGGGCAAACTTGAGGCTCAAACTGGGCCCCTGGCCCACGGGTTACAACAACAACGGCTCCCGCTTGAGATTTCTGGGCAATTTAGCCAGGACCCCCGCTCCCGCCCGAGACTTCCTCGCATTTTATTCAGGAATCGCGCTCTCGCTTGGGACTTCCTTACAATTTATTCTGGAATCGTTCTCCCGGCGCTATGGAGTCGCGCTCTCGCTGAAGATTTGCTGGCAATTTACTGAAGAATAGCGCCCTTGCGTTGGAATTTTTTGCAATTTACTCAAGCGCCGCGCTCCCGACACCCAGGCACCCAGGAGTCGCGCTCACGCTTAGGACTCCCTCACAGATTACCTAGGAATCGGGATCTCGCTGCCCTTCGTGGCCCCGTTGCAGCCCTTCTTGGCCCCCTCGCTTTGTTTCGTGGCCCCGTTGCAGCCCTTCGTGGCCCCGTTGCGTCCCTTCGTGGTCCCCTCGCTGCCCTTCGTGGCCTCCTCGCAGCCCTTCGTGGCCCCGTTGCAGCCCTTCGTGGCCCCCTCGCTTTGTTTCGTGGCCCCGTTGCAGCCCTTCGTGGCCCCGTTGCGTCCCTTCGTGGCCCCGCCGCAGCCCTTCGTGGCCCCGTTGCAGCCCTTCGTGGCCCCCTCGCTGCCCTTTGTGGCCCCGTTGCAGCCCTTCGTGGCCCCCTCGCTGCCCTTCGTGGCCCCGTACTTGTATGCCCTTCGCGGCCCCCGCTCGTTCGCGCCCGTGGTGGCCCCATATGCATCCCTTCGTGGCCCCGCTGTCGCCCTTCGTGGCCCCCTCGCTGCCCTTCGTGGCCCCGTTGCTGCCCTCAGTTGCTCCGTCCTTGCCCTCCGCTGCCCAGTATACGTATGCCCTTCGTGGCCCCCGCTCGTTCGCGCCCGCTGTGGCCCCATGTGCATGCCCTTCGTGGCCCCGCTGTCGCCGTTTGTGGCCCCCTCACCGTCCTACGTGGCCCAGTTGCTACCCTCAATGGCCCCATCGTTGCCTTCTGTGGCCCCGCATTATCTGCCCTTCGTGGCCCCCGCTCGTTCGCGCTTTTCGTGGCCCCATACGCATTCCCTGCGTGTCCCCGCTGTCGCCCTTCGTGGCCTACTTCGTGTCCCTGTGGCCCTGCTATCGTTCTCTCTCGCTCTCGCTTTCTCTCGTCGTCGTCGCCGTCGTCGTCGTAGTCGCCGTCGTCGTCGTCGTCGTCGACGTCGTCGTCGTCGTCGTCATCGTCGTCGTCGTCGTTGTGGTCGGTCCCCTGTCCGTCCCTCTTGGGGTCGGGTCGACGGTCCGCGACCGCCCCGCCGATCAGCGCTGCCGCTGGCCAGACCGACGGTCCGCGGCCGCCCCGCCGCTTGCCAGGGCCCGACCTGCAGGGAAGAAAAGTATAGCCCCCAAAAGGGGCTCGATCGAAGACGAAGAGGGCGGGTATCGAGGGTTTGGGAAAATACGAGTTATTGGACAGTCGAGCAGATAAGGGCGAACAGTCTTAAAATGATTATCGTTGCTGTTCTTATTGTTGAATTCTCATTCCTGAGCACAAATTATTGCCGATACCCCCTCATCGGTGCATATGGTTTTTTTCAATCAAAGTGTGCCCTTCGACGCTCGCATTTTTTTTTGTCAGGGAAAGGCATGGTGTTCAAACTGGGCCCCTGCCCCCCCGGATTGCAACAACAACGGCTCCCGCCTGAGACTGCTTCCAAATTTACTCAGGACCCCCGCTCCTGATATTCCCACGCGTTTTATTCAGGATCGGCGATCCCGCGTGTGACCCCCTCGCAGTTTAGTCAGGACCACCGCTCCCATCTGAGACATATTTGCAATGTTCTCAGCAACGGCGCTCCCGCTTGAGACTTCCTCGCAATTGAACCAAGATTTCCTCGCAATTTAATCAAGACTTCCGCTCCCGCCAGAGAGCCCTTCACATTTGTTTCAGGAATTGCGCTCTCGCCTGTGACTTCCATATAATATATGCAGAAATCGCGCTTTCGACGCTCAGGAAACACGCTGCGCCAAGGACGCCATCACAATTTACTTACTAATCGCGCTCTCGCCATATTCAGGCATCCCGCTTGAATGTCCCACCCGCCCGACCCGCCCGTCAGGGGATTACCCGCCCGTCGTGGGCTCCCGCCCCAGACTTCCTTCAGGAACGGCGCTTTCGCCTAGGATTTCCTCGAACGTTCACGCTCTTACTTTCCTGCTTCTCCTCCCTCTCCCTCCTCCCTCCTCTCCTCCCTTGTCTCTCCCTCCTCTCTTCCTCATCCTTATGCCTGTCTGCCCTACACCCTCTCCCTCCTCTCCCTCCTCTCCCTCCTCCCTTCTCTCTCCCATCGCCTGCCTCCTCCCTCTTTCTTTCTTTTTGTTGTTTTTTTTGTTTTTCTCTCTCTCTCTCTCTCTCTCTCTCTCTCTCTCTCTCTCCCTCCCTCCCTCCCATCTCTCTCTCTCTCTATTTCTATCTCTCTTATCTGTCTTTCTCTCTCTCTCTCTCTCTCTCTCTCTCTCCCTCTCTCTGTCTCTAATCAGCCGCCCCCCTCTTCGCTCCTTCTCTCCTGGCGTTTTCCCTCTTCCTTCGTCCCTCCCACTCCCGTCCTCCCACTCTCCCTCGTTCTCCCCCTCCTCTTTTTGCAGGGCCCACACCAATTCCAATGGCGGGCGCATGTACGCCCACGAAGGATTGTCCGCCCGTTCAGGTTTGCCCGC